TTTGTTTTGTTTTTTGTTTTTGACATGTTTCAATTAATTATTGTAACTTAAATTTTGATCTTGTGACTCATTCTATATCCTATGGCTTGTATTATGCCTGTATCAGGATCAATTAGAAAGTGAAATAAATGAATGAATGAATGAATGACAAAGTGGTGCATCATCTGGGCATCAATCATATTTCTGCTCATGGAATCATCCATCACTGACTTGGGTTTCATCAAGTCTATGCAAGATGGATTCCAAAACAACCCACAGAGGAGCACAAGCACAATTGTCTGATAATCTGCTAAGGCCTACTGAACTTCTGTCATAAGGAATATCACGCCTTTTTGAGATGCACTGTCACTGGAGATGAGATATGGATCCACAATTACACTTCATAAAGCAAATTCCAGAGCATGGAATGGAAACATAGAACAATGCTATTCAAAAAGAAGTTCAAATCTCAAGCATTAGTGGGAAAAATTACATTGACACCGTTTTGGGAAGCACAAGGTTGAATTTTGGAACAATACCAAGACTGTGGCATAATAGTATACAGTGTCTGTCACAGGGAAATGCTTCAGGACCTGTTGAAACCAGCTAATCAAAATAAATGCTAGGGGCTACTGTTGAAAGGTATCAAAATGCTGCACAATAATTCCAGTCCATGCCTCTGAAAGCCTTTGTCAACTGAATTTTTCAGTTCTGAAGCATCATCCATATAGCAATGATTTGATTTCTTCTGACTTCTTCTGACTTTCACTTGTCTGATCCCCTCAAAGGTGCTCTGAGTGGACACCATTTCACCAGTGACCAAGAAGTGAAAGCAGCAGAGCATGTGTTGCTTGTCACTCAACCAAAAACATTTTTTCTCAGAGCAGAGACAGATTTGAGGACTACTGGCCTAAGTGTGTTGAAAAGTAGAGGGACTACATAGAAAAACTGATGCTATAGTACATACCCACTCTAAATGTATTGTCGCGTATCGGGCGTATATCGCGACAAATAAATTCTCGATGTATTCGGTGTAGCGAATTTTATTTCACATTCGCACTTACAATCACTCAAATTACAGATTTACGATTACTGCTATCTGCAGTATCACAATTAGTACACTCCAAATGCCACAATACAACTGACTAGTTGCTGGCTAACTCAGCGGTAGCTCCAGGACTCACTGGCTGACTCACTACAACTCGACTCGGCGACTGTTACAGTACAACTCGACTCGGCGACTGTTACAGTACAACTCACTGTGAATAGCCTTCGCTGCTCCTTATGTAACCTCGATCGGACAATACAGCCACGTAATAGGCACCCTTGCTGCATGGCGCTGTGTTGCTATGTAACGCTAGCGGAAGTAACCGCTGTTACTACCGTAACGTCGCCGCTGTTGACTCGCGTTGCCTAGCGACCGCGATATCCCTCGGTGACGTCACCGCGGAGGGGAGTGGCGGGGCGGGAACTCGCCTATTACTGTAGTAACGCGAGCGTTACGTTACCGCCACGTACCGCTGGGGAGGTAGGGGTCAACATGTCACAGTATTATTGAATAAAAGTTAACTGCAAATACTTATTTTTAATTACATGAGTAAAATTTAATATCGTAAATCATGTGTAATCTCTTCTCTAAAGGTTAATTTCTGAAGTGCACATATCCATACACTGAAAGGTACAGTCATCATAGCCAAAGTATAAATATTCATGCATTTGGGCATTTAAATGGCACTGGTAGAAGCTCACACACATTGCTAAAAGAAGTTCACACACAATTCTAAATAATTATTTTCAGATATCGTGACATGATGCCTGAAAGCTGGAAGAGCCCATTGCTAGCCAGTGGTTTGCTAACACACGTTCCCATGACAACAAACCAGAACAATCAATTACTGGGCAACAGTTCGGTCCCTTCCAACACAAAAATTCTCCAAACGTTCCAATCCAAAACGCTAAGGAAACTAGCTAATACTCCCTGGTAGGTATCAAATGCTACCTTACACAATGATCTAAGCATACCATATGTAACAGAAGTCATCAGAGCATACACGGACAAACACAAAAACCGGACAACTCAAAACAACAACCAACTAATAAGAAACCTCTTCAACCAATCAGCAATAGAAAGAACACTAAATAGAATGTGGCCAGAGGATCTCATTAGATAAGCACTAGAGAATCATTGAAGGATGATACCTGCTTCAATATTATACACACCCATCCCCTTTACTAATTACTCTATTTATGCATATTGAGTAGACTGTAAAATCATTTTAAATTAAAAAAAAAAAGTAAAAAAAAAAGAGTTCGGTAAGCACGTTCCCATGACAACAAATAAACACAGAAAAACAGAATAACAGAGGAACTGTGAGACATGGTGGCTTATATTTGGTTAGCCCCGAAGTTGAGTTAGTTCAGTTCATTCATGACAGAGATCCATAAGCCATCGTTCAGCATGTGGCATTCATAATAGAGTTGAGTGTTCAGCTGTGAAGTGTTAACAATCGGACAATGGAAGCTGAAGAAGTGACCAATTCGTAAATCAGATCAAGTCAGTCGCAGTGGAAGTGCACTTGTACATGGTAAACTTGTGGTACAGTAAGGAATGTGAGCTGTTATAATTAATTAAAATTGTAAAGAAGTGCCATTACATCCAATCATCCAATCTAGAATCCATTATATTCATCATGCAACCCCAGAATACAAGACAATATAGTAAAATTCAAAGTAAAACTCATTTTTTGTTATCTTCTTGATGTATATGTAGGTTTCACCTCCCCTCCCTCCATGCCCAGTCATCTGACTGAATCACGTCTTAGTAAGGCACTCCTTGAAACACCCAATAAGGCATAGTCCCACATCACATTTCTTGCAATTCAGCTGCCTCTGAATACCATCATCTTCCAAACAATGTTTCATTAAACCATGTCAAACCATGACACTTGAATTCACTACAAACTCACAGAACATTAAATGCACTCTATATCTCAGCTACAATGTGTTTAGTTGCGACCATAGAAACGGTAATATTTTTTTGCAGCTGCAATGGAAGGCCTTGGCATTAATGTATGAAACAAAGAATTTTCTCACTAATCTCTCCTGAATTTCACTTTCACCTTCCTATGCCTCTAGTTAGGAGAGTCAAATATCTGAGGAGTGTAGCAAAAATGTGAACCTTATGAACGGAATAACAAAATAGTGTTTCTAGTGGTTTCAGGAGTTTTTTAACACCACAGACAGTGGAAGTATGCACAGTGTTACAAGAAGGAATGATCCTATAGTGCTGAACCACTTTGTGAAGAAGCATGAAATTCTTTGTACAGTATGCACCAAAATCACAAAAAAAGTATAATTATTCTGCCTTAACATTCTGAAATTTTACTTTATAATATGAGACATTATGCCCTTTGCTGATAAAAACAAGGTTAATTCCATTACTTTATCATAAAAGTTGCATTAGATACAGTATTTTTAGTAAAGTGCTTAGAATTATTGCAAATGGTAAACAGCGATGGATATTTAGACGCCCAACAGCAGTGGGCATTTAAAAGAAATCTGTCCAACTCACCCTATCACTTACCAGCCTTTAAAGGATAAAGAATCAGCTCCTATATTGTGATACTGACAATGGGAGAAACTATATTCTGGGTGAAGAATGGGCACTACTTTGCTGAATGCTTCTTGGACAATCAGCCATGTCAGTGTTTGGTTAAAAACCAAAGATCTCCTTGGTCTCCAACATCAGGGTCAATGTAGACATGAAGGCATCAGTCCTGATGTCTGAGATCTAGGAGACCTCTTAGATGTTGGCTTTCAGCTCAACATAGACATGGATGATTTCCAGAGTAGACTGTAGCACATTTATTCTCCATGAGAGCTTCAAACCTTACATAATGGGTACTTCTGCTTGTAAAGTGTTAAACACATGCTAAACTTCAGAATGAATTAATATTAAGTCTGAGCCAGTAGTTCACTTGTACATCTATGGTCTGTGTACACAAAGTCTGATACAGGCATATAATGCTGTTTTCAGAGCATAACTGACCTATCACTATGTCTTTCTGTTCCTCCTGCATCTCTGCCACCAGTCCCACATCCCCCACTGCACCCCACTGCACAGCAAGGCCTGGCAACCCATCTCTGACACGGGCCTCACAGATGCGCTCCATGATGGAGTTGTTCATGCCATAGTTGGTTTGTCCTGCATTACCATGTCCACATGCTGCACTGGAAAACATTACAAAATGGCGCAGATATGGGCACATTTGGCGAGATAACTCATCTAAGTGATGTGCTGCCACTGCCTTGGGTCCTGCAGAAGTGACAAAGTCCGCTTCAGTTTGGTTCTCCAGGACTGCATCTCGCAGCACCTGCAAGTAATGAACAGACATTCACTGTAAGGTTACAGTAAATGATGAAGCATCTCAAATAATCACTTCTATCCAAAAAGTTATCTTTAAATTTCTCATAGTATTGCTCTTTATATTGACGAAGACTTTGTGACCAAGTCATGACACGGTGTGGCCAGAGAATGTGTGCTCCATTTTTCTCTGTTATATGTGTTAGAACAACTTTCTGCACCAGTAAACATTTTGAGTTATGAGAAATATGAAAACAGAAATGCATGTAGGTCATTATTGGAGTGTGTGTGCTGTTTTTTAACACAACTGCAATGTCTTGAAAAATCCTGGTAACACTCCCTAAAAACAATTTTCATACACATTTATTTAGTGGTTATCAAGTTGATTTATGGAGGCGCACAGACAACTATTACAAATCCCACAGGCTCTTTTTTGTATCTTTTCAGTGTGAATGTGCCTAGAGGGAGGAATTTCTTGCACAGATGGGGCCTTTTCAGCTTCTTCATACAGACCATACACCAAGCACTTAATTACTGAAATCAATATCCTCGACTTTCATTGACTTTCTGGCATAATGTTTTTTCATGTGCTTCAACAATAATATTATGCACAAACTTTTTGGGTAGGGTCACACAAAGTGGTGCATGCAGAGAAGGACAAGACAGTAACACGAGCATTACTCCCATTAGATAATGTAGGACAGCATTTGATTTCAGATCCTACACATTCTATGCACTGATAATTCAGAATGTCCTTGTTCCTCATGAGCATGCATACAAAATACAAGGATAATGATTGCAAATTTGTGTCATCATGACATAATTCAGCATCACTATTTCTGGTTTCACTGATGTCTCTCTATTAGTATCTCATGACTTAGCCATTATGAACTGTGTAAATGTAAGCAAGCATGACATTTACCATAGCCAGGTTGAATATGGCATCCACCTGGCCCAGTCTGTTTGCTTCTGATAACAGAGCTCTTACACCACTCTTTGTGGTTATGTCAGCCAAAGATATGACAACTGTGGCACCACAGCTGCGCCATGTTCTCAAACGGAAACTCTGGTAGCCAGTTTTTAAACCACTGTGAGATGACAGCACCAGTTTACGAGCACCTCGTAACACAAGCCAGTCAGCAAGCTCCAGACCAAAACCTCCCAAGCCACCTGTAAATGATGTTATGCCAAATAAATTCATGTTTATTTTGGGAATCAGCAGTTATAAAGTAAATGATGAGCATGAAGAACCACACAGTAGTGGGGTGAATTACATTTGGGAAGTGATGTGGATGTAGCTCAACTAGAAAACCAGTTACTTTGAGGTTTTCATGGTTTTCCTTACCCCTGCCAGGAATAATTTATAGGAGCATCATGTTGTGTGTTTACATATGTCTGATTAATATGCCACATAATTTGGCCTGACTGGCAATTATCAGGTCATCTGTATATTTGGTATCCATATGACTATTGCACTATACAGTGGCCAGTGTGTACAGTGGAGTCTAGATTTTAATACATAGCCATCAGATCATAAAAAAGCTGTAATTTCTATGTCATGCTTTGCTGAACACATCAGCCAGGTGATCTGACTCTCTTTTCTATGCAGCTTGAAGTAAGATGTGTGTCACTATTGATTCAGATCTTCCCCTTAGATTTTTTGTGACATCCATCAGCATGAAACAAGGTCCTGCATAGGCTGGTTGTGGAAGCTGCTGACATTTTGTCTGAATTATATGCAGACACTTGGGCTGACCAAGGTAATGATGAGGAATGTGAAACACAGAATTCTGGATAGTTTTGTCTCCACAGCTAACGTGAAGAAACAGTCATGTAACTCTTTTTCTTTTTTTGTAGCTGAGAGAGAAAGAAGTACAGATGAAGATGAATATAATGAACTAGGTAAGAGTGATTACTTTGATGATGCAGAAAATGACTTGGGTGTAAAGTAACCAAATTTCAGGGGCAGTCCCCAAAACAAGACTTATGTCCCTGACCGATTTGCCTCCAGTTTGTTAAATAAAATAACGAATTTTAAAAAATATGGACCCTGGATAGCTCAGTCAGTATAATAGTAGGCTATGATATAGCTAATAAACCGAGATTAAGTAATCAGAAAGGAGCTGAACCACTAAATACTTGGAAATCAACAAGCTATGTATGAGGCAGTGAAGTTTTTGATAAAAGAAACTTCGTTAATTAAGTTTAGCATTCAGCAGAAATTTATAAATTTGTCAACTTATGTGCTACACAAGATGCTGCTCCTACAAGTCTTATACCAGCCACTTGGAGGTTTGCAGTTAGTATTTCATCACAACAGACATAAATTTCGTGCACAAAATTCAAAATTGTTGTGGTAGACTCCACCATAAGAATAGTGTTGCAGCAGACAAAGTCCAGCTGCAGCCAATGAAATACAAGGGTTGGAACTTTAATAGTGGCAATACTGCTGCAGAGACCCCATGCAATGGAACCAAATAATGTCGCTTATACCACAAATTAATTATATGCCTACCTTACCTCAGAGCAAATGGACTCTCCCTTCCCACATCATATGCATGCGCAGTGATGAGAAGAACAGAGCCTCGTGTTAGCTGGCGGTCTAATGTAGTGGTGTCACAATGTTTTCAAAATGGGTACAATGGAGTTGCATAAAGATTGAATGTGCCAGAGGCCATACAGCATGACAGTGTCATCAAGGTCTTCAAGAGGCTTGCAGGGAATATGCATTGCCTTACAGAACAGTGGTAAGGTGGGTAAAAGCCTTCAATGAAGGGATGCCAAAATGTGGCAGACATGCACTGGTCAGGTCATCCTAGTATCAGTGAAGAAGAAGTGTATGCTCTTTCCGTGTTACTGGAGAGTGATCGACGCCATACGATTCGTGAGCTGGCCCAAGAGACAGGATTAGCGCATGCGACTGTGCTTCACATTCTGAAGGAATGCCTGGGCATGAGAAAAACTGCATCACAATGGGTTCCACATGATTTGACGGAAATGTAGAAATGGCTACGATACGATGCTGCTCGTAACCACTTGGAGCGCTATGAGCGCGAAGGAGAGGCTTTCTTACGCCGTATCATTATGCTGGATGGGACATGGGCCAAATAGTATGAACCACAAATGAAACGCCAATCGAATGAATGGCGTCATTATGAGTCACCACAAGAATCAAAAGTTCGTCAGAACCCCAGCAATGTGAAAGTCACAGTGATTCTCATGTACGGCTGTGATGGTGTTATCCTAACGCATACCGTTCCCCGATAGCAGACCGTCAGTTCACAGTATTACTGTTCATTTTTGGAACATAACCTGCGACCAGCTTTGAGAAAGAAGCGGCAACACTTTCTGCAGAACCCACCCATCATTTTGTAGGACAATGCTCGGCCACATGCAGTGCAAGCTGTGGTTGATTTGTTTGATTGATGGGGCTGTGAAGTGCTGTACCATCCACCATACTCCCCGGATTTAAGCCTTTGTGACTTTAACTTAATTCCTAAGATGAAGGAACAACTCCATGGCATGTGCTTCAGAACTGTTCTAGAGACTCTTCAGGCAGTAGACCACTCCATTTGAACTATCAACACAACAGGCACTGCTAAAGGTATCCTATGACTTCCACATGGCTGGCAATGGGTTGTACACAATGCTGGTGACTACACTGAAGGACAGTAAAACTTTAGAACATGCAACTATTTTGTATCAGTTGTAAATAAATAGTTGCCACTATTACAGTTCCAACCCTTGTAAATAAGTAAATTTGAAATTCTTAAGAACTGTAGTAAACTTCTTTACATTATATAGTGCATTGTGTAAACCTGTGTGCATGAAATTCAGGACAGTGATCGCATCATATACAAGTAACATCTTATCTCCTCTATAGTACAGAATATTTTCAAAAGAAGCAAAAGTGTTACTTCAGTGCCTCATTGAAAATTTGACTTCCACTTATACAACTGGTTAACTTAGAAGATAATATTGTAGGAAAACATACTGTGTGTAGTTTGATCTTCTCGATAGTGAATGGTGGGAGGATTTCAGTAACAGATCATATCCAAACAAGAAGCAAAAGAATGCATTGCTTGCCTAGCCTCAGTAAAGATGTACAAGTACGACAAATTACTTTCATAAAATTGAGCCATCAAAAGCTGAACATGACTTGACTCTTTATGATTGTATGCCTGTCTATCATGCTGTACTCCACAATCATAGCTTTCACAAAATGGACTGTACAAAATGTTTATAGAAAACATTTTCAGACAAGAAATTTTCCTGTTGAAAAACAAAGAAAGAGCAAATCAATCATTACCAACATTCGGGTTCCTTGGGCTCCTGAAGAATTGAAAAATGATCTAAAATGTTTTAACTCTGTTCAATGTCTTGCAATGCTTCTAATCATAAGCATGAGAAGCAGCTTCATATTTAGTAGTTATTATCAGGTCTATGACTTTGAAAACCCAGTGAAGAACAAACTCCTTACTTTTTAGAAATCTCGGGGAAAAATTGCAGATATGATACCTATGCTAGTGATGAAAGCAATTGTTGGTTATTATTTGGAGAAAAAGGTAGTAGAGTTATCAGCTGATAATATCAATGCAGACTTCAGAGGCTCGCACAGAAGGCATGAAGAAAATGTTAACTAAAATTAAGTCCAAATTAAACAGAAACATAATTGGTTTTGGCTGCAATGCACATATGTGTATCATTCATAACTTTGTTAAGATAACATTTGATTCCATGCCTGTTGATATCAGAGTGCTTGCTACAAAAAGCTTTGGGTATCTTCAAATATACTTTCATGTAGTATGTGAAATGACAATGAAAAATATTTCAAAAAACATCAAAAGAATTTTACAATTCTGCTTTATCGTATTTAAAGGCATGGAATAAAGACAATGAGGATTTATCAAATTTGAGCTGCCTTCTTTTAAATAAGGTGCCCCCATGGGAAAATTTTGATCACATAATTGAGCTGATGTCCTCAGGGTGTAAAATTTTAACTGTCAATCCCAACGAACTCTCTCATGAATATACTTACTTATGTGGCTATCAATTGCAAACAGGAAGTGAATGATTTAGTTCCATTCCCCCTCCTCCTTTCAAGAAGTGGTCTGAAGTGTGTGTGGTCATTTGAAAGAAAATATTGTGCTGCATGGCAACATGACGAAGTTTGTTGAACTTATTGTGCTTGCCTGTCAGCAATGCATCCAATGAAAGGTTTTCCTGTAAAAACTACATTTTGTCTGAAGAGATGTCTTGATTTCAAGTGGCCAAAATACAATCCATTTTTACAGTAAACATCACATGGCAGCTGGTTACCATGACAACAGGGACAATGGAACAACACAGAAATCGTGAGAAGAGGTGTTTTCTATGTGGTCTGCGCAGATACTACATATCCTGTTTTACTGATTGAACTTCTTAACTTTTCTTCCAGAAAAATTACAAGATGTTTGTCTCTAAATATCTCAAAACTGCAAATCTGTAAGTCTGCACTTCACAAACATTCTGACATCAAGCAGGCTACAGTGTAAGAGTGGGCGTGTGTGTTGTCTTACTCTTTAGGAAGAAAATGAAAGAAAGCTCAGTACCTGCAATTATGTAACTGTAGCTGGGGTTGCAGAAGTACCATGGGTAAGCCTGCATCAGCCGCGGTACAGGCATAACCACTTTACTGTCTTCCTCCAGTCGAATCTGCACCAGCACTTTGCCTATATGTTTCCCGGTTGTCATGTACCTGCAACACAGTCACTGTACTTGCCTGTGTGATTCTCTGGTAACTTTAATATGAACACATCACACTCACTGTACCTATTGAATTCCTGAAAACAAGTGTTAACTCACTTAGGATGTCTTTAAGACTCTCTCTGACATCTCTTGCATTTATAAAATAAACATCTTTAATTAAAAATTAAAGGAAGAATAGAAAATGGCAAGAACATTTCACCATTTAGGGATACGCTTAGAGAATGAGACATGCCACAACAGAAGATATGTGTTTACGTACAAATTACTACAGGCCCCTTTAATGTACAGAGCATAACAAAGACTAACAGCAGCTTGGATGAGATTTGTAAGTATGGAAGGAAGGGCAAAGTGAGAGAGAATAAGAAATTGAAACAATTATAATTTAATGATTTATACACTGGAAGACACATTAACATATAACAGAATGAGATCGTCACGTTTTAAAAAGTAAGGATAAGAAGCCCGAAGGTCTTTAGCTGAACATAAAAGGAAGCTGGAGATCAAGATGGGGACAGCAGGTCAGGAAAGATGTCAGCCAGAAGGAAGAAAGAATATGAGGGGGGTGGATGAAGAGGAAGAAAGTCTGAAAGAGAAACATAAATGTTGAATGCTGGATGACCCTTACAAAAGCTGAAGCATCAAAGAGGAAGAAGAAGCAAGCAGAATAAGCTATCCTGGTCCCAACTGTCTGCAACATTTTTAGCAAATGAATATGACAGGTGATCTTCTGAATTTCTTTAACATGTGGCAAAACATGTTCCAGCTCCATGCTGGATGAGTCCAACACGTCTTGGCAAAGAGGAAAAGGTAATATCTGAAGAATGTCATCTTCTGGGATGTGGCAAGTGTAGATATTGTGTAAACCGACGTTTTGGAGGAATGTATCATCTCCACCTGCTCACACTAGTTCCTCGCCCGAGGATTTTTATACCCTGAAGATGGAGGCGATATGTTCCTCCGAAACGTCGGTTTACACAATACCTACAGGGCACCACATCCGAGAAGACCACAGCGCCACATCCCAGAAAATGGCATTCTTCACAGTCAATGCCATGAAAACCTCAAATCTTACCTCAAACCTCTCAGAAGTTTGCCACCATCATAACTGTACCTGAAAGCCTGTTCCACCTCGGTGTCAGGAAACACAGTCCTGTGTAGGGGTTGCACAACACCTGCAGAGATGCCTTCAGTCAACATATTACGCACAATCTTCTCATACTCAGGGGATTTAGAGACCACTTTGTTTAACATTACACCATAGAAGCTCGTCCCCTTCAGGAACACCTCCATGCCTGTGTGTTGGGATTCAATGGGAGAGGAAAACTACACCAAAGAACACAACCATCAGCTACAGATCACAAAATGCCCTTCAAATCTCAGCATTGACTGTAACTACATTTGCACATCCCTCTTACTGTCACAATGTTCTATCACTGACTAAGCCTCTGGAGTGAGTTTCTCTTACAACATTTCTTGTTAAGAGTCTCAGTAATTTTAGGAGAGCGTAATGCCAAAATAAGTAAAGAGAAGGAACACAGAGGAGTAATTGGGTCAGAAAGTTTACATGATACAACCAACCATAATGGAATAAAATTAATAGTTTTTGCTGAAAGTAAGAACTTGATCATCAGCTCTACATACTTCCCGCATAAAAATATACATAAAAGGACATGGGCAGCATTGGATGGGGTAACCTTCAATCAAATAGATCATGTCCTCATAGAGAAGCGATTTGCGATGAATATCCTGGATGTAAGAACATTAAGAGGGGCCAACTGTGATAGTGATCATTATTTAGTACAGGTTAAATATAGATGTAAAATAAGTTGTCAAAGATCTAAGCAGTATGAGAAATGTAAGAAATTTAATATTGACAAGATTACGGAGAGTGATAAGGGAGAAGCATTTCAAAATAAAATTAAAGAAATTAATGACAATAGAGCAAATAAAGAAGTAACAGTAGAAGGGATATGGGTAGATTTTAAAACTGCAATAATTACAGAAGCTGAGAAGCCTCTGGGATATCAAGAGAAACAGGATAATAGAGAATGGCCTGACGAGGAATGAAGGAAGAGTATAAATCTCAAGAATAAGAAATATATGGAATATATGGAAAGACCAACAAGAGCAAGGAATGAGGCGTATAAAGGCGCAAGAAGGAAAGCAGACAAGATTTGCAGGAAAAAGAAACGGGCCTTTCTAAATGAGCAATTACTGCAACTGGAAGAAGACTTCAAAAATAACAAAACAAAAAATGCCTTTGGTCGAATCAAATATATGAAAGAAGGTTTCAAACCAAAAACA